GCAGATTTCGTGGCAGGCACAGCACTTTGTGAACCTCCATGTGCAGATTTCATGGCAGGCGCAGCACTTTACTGCGCCCCTCCCAGCAGCAGCACAGCAACCAGCAGTTGTTGTAAATGGTTCAAGTTTGAAGAATAAATTCACCAGAAGTCAAAAATTATATTGTTCTTTAAATAAACACATCTGGCAGAATAGCAAACCACCAACCCAAACCACCAAATTTGGCAACGCTGATTCAGGGCGAGAAAGTAAGATTAAAAAACGAACTTTTGTGATGATCAACTTGGTCAAGGGAAAACGCGTCTGTCTCGGCGGACAAGACCGAGAAGAAAGCTTGGGACGCAGACACAACCAATGGTGGCATGCACTTGGAAGGCATTGCCAAAGCGCCTGAAGCAGCTGCAGTAGGCCCCTACGTCATACTGGCCCCTAGGCTTTGCGGTATTGAAAAGTTTCTTCTGCTTGCCGTCGCGCTGGAAGAGTCACTGAAGGCAGTTCTTTTGTTGAAAAAATTCTGCAATAACCTAGCTCCTGCAAAGTCCTATTTGCAGCAAACTCCAGGGACGAATAGGCGAGTTGGTTTTGAGGCCTGCCGTTTCAGCGCTCAGCAAGTTTGTCCTGCGGTTTCCTATCACCAGCCTTCCCATCCCGAGATTTTCCCTCCGGCTTTGAGTTTGATGGCAGTTTCTCCTACAATGAAGAGTTTCAGCAAAATGATGAACCCCATGATGTGTAGGAGCAACATCCACCCGAAGTGCAGCGTGAGCCTCGTGAAGACGAAAACTCACCTGAGCGCTATTCTTTCCCAGGTTGGTGGCAAAGAGATCCAGCGTCGAAATAACGAATCAGAATCAGCCACCTCCTGCCACGACCTCAAACTTGTGCAACCATTCCGATAAAGATGGCAAAGGCATAGCGTATACTATCCCAAGTTCTTCACAAGCGAAGTCCTCTCACCCAACCCTCCCGGCTGGAATGCTTTCAGCCTCAACCGCGAGCGCTGCCAAGCGTCAAAGCGCCAGATTGCAGTGGGCACCACCGGGCCTGATAGATGTCAGAAAAAGTTTTGCCAGATAGAACGCCACAAAATATCCTAGATAGAATGCCAGAATTACCTCCGAAAATGACAGATAGAATGCTACAATAAAAAATACCGCACAGAATGCTAGTATATACGCGTAGTAGAATGCAATAGTATATGCCGGTAAATATGCAAGATAGACATTATCTTGGTGATGTCAAGGCAATATAGCCGTCGGTGGTCTATACTTCCATGGTGGGGATCACTCAAATTAAAGTATGTGAAATGATGGATGGCTTCCGGTATTGACCTTCTAACCGTGGCTGTTCTTCTTCCATTCCGGTGTGTTGTCCTTTCCAGTTTCGGCCTGTTGTTTGGTTTCCTTTCCCTGCTTTTTGTGTTTGTTCCCGCGGTTTTACTTTCTTTGATGCCTCCATGGCCACTGTGTCTGTTGCGGGGCGCTCTACAGCTGCAATTTCCCAGGCACAGTGTGCACAGTTTGTGACTGTGATCATTTGTGTTTTTGGCGGTGGCTTCCCGGCGTTACTGCTTTCATTCCATTCCAGTGCGCGTTCTTCGCTCCCTTGCTTTCCCTTCCCTTCCTTGCTTTGTTTTTCTGCGTTTTCCGGTTCCCTTCCTTTGCTGCTAACCCGCCTCCGACCTTTGTGGTGTGGCATGTGACTTCTGGTCTGTATATTGTTCATTAGTTGTTGTTTTGTATTTGCTGGTTCTTGTGCTTTCCTGAACTGTTGCCAAACTTTCAATCTATATAAGGCCTCAGAGAAAGAGGGACGCATTCCAAATGTTTGTTGCGCATTCTGATTCTGGTTGTGCGAAAAACAGGTCTCTTAGAATGTGGGTTTGCCCGGTCCGACAAAAGAGGTACTTAGAGATGAGCCAAGCAAGGTTATCAAGATGTAATAACCATGCAAACCTGAGTTTCCAAGTTCTTGGTTTTTGGAGAGCCAGTAGTTTTTCCGGCTTCCAGCAGCCGTAATAATGCTGCAACACATGTCAACGGTTTTCATGGCCAATAAATGTTTTGGAGGTTGATGGCCAAAAGACCTTACACGACTCCATGTCGCAACGGCAGCCATCGCAGTGGCCCAGGCAAGCTTAAAGTCTGGACCTGATGGACGCGACAAGCATGTACATACACTGCACATATCTGGTGGACGATCCCGCGGCTTGGAAAATGTTTTATGAGTTGTTGATGTTCAACCAAAGTTGTTTTTTGAGAAAATGGCTCAATTTTCCAAAGTTGTCAAGCTAAGGTTTTTTGCAGCTGATATTCCACGAGTCTTGGTCATCTACGGGCACCATGACTATCTATATCTATATCAGTTCATGATTGCATCTTTGATGTATTCGTTTTGCGTTTCGACTCTCAGAATGTCAGGCAACATTCGCCTTTTGCAGCCGTTGTCCATTTATGGGACCAGAGTTCCACTGAAGGAGACCCGTAGCTGTGCCGCACGACATGAATTTTTGCTGACAGTTGCAGTTTTCATGGGTTCTTTGCCAATTTGCCAACGAGCTAGTTGTCACACATCTGAGGAAAAACCCCGCTGGCAATCATGTTCAGCGAGAGAGTCTTGCTGGACGAAGCTGAGATGGAGACCCGGAAGCTCTCGCGGAAGTTCGAGATCCCTTTGGATGACACCCACAGTGCATTTTGACAATTACAGGGAAGAGAAGCTGTTTCCATTGGGCTGAATGAGCTCACTTCTGGAACTTGAGCTCGCTTAAGCGATGTTTTATAGGTGATGGTGAACTTTAGAAAGCGTCGCTTCTGAAGCCCAAGGTTCGCAGAGAGCTTCCGAGATGCAGCAAGATTGTGAAGACTGCTTAAGAGGGAAACTCAACGAAGGAAGTAGATTCGGAAGAAAAAGAAGAGCCGACAAGGGAACAACTGCGGTTGCCAAGCTAGTAAGTAAGTACAGTATAGTATAGTAGTTCAAACCTTTTGACTCAAAGTACTGGCAGTTGAAGCAGGTTCTTACGCTTCGATGTCGAGAAGCGGGGCTACTTGAGCTACATAGACTTCAAGAAGGTGGTCAAGGCACTGACATCGCGACATGCCTTTTGCCGGGCGGATGCGTGGCTTGGTAGAGCAACGACGCAGCCTTGGGCATCCTGAACTGCTCTTAATGCATACCGAAGGACAATGGAAACGTCTTGGCCATACTTTTTGAACCCCAGGTTGTTACAAGAGACTCATCTACGGGCCCTGTGGAACATTGTTGACAAAGATGGAGCGCTGGCAAAGTTTTCCCGGTCCTGCTGTGTTCTGGATGCTTCACTCTGCCATGACATGCTGGCCGTCCTTGCAGTGCTTGCTTCTTGACAAGTGGCAAACCCTTTTTCAGTGTACTTCTTGATCATGGCAGGAAGCGGATGTGTTGAGTTTGAGGAGTTCCTGCAGTGGTTTCATAGTCATTTCCTGAAGGAAAAGCCCCCGGCCAGAAGCTTGCACAGTCACACGCCTCAAGCAGCTTTCAAGTTGTGATTCGTGCTTTTTGCTGGGATGGATGCTGCCGATTCAAGGGCTGCCTGTCGACGGCAGAGTACCTAAAAATGAATGGCTGTCTCAAGTTCTTAACCACTGTCTTGAAAGCTGTCTACGTTTGAATCATTCCCACATTGACTAGCTGTGCTGAGTGGACTTTGCGCGGCTTTGTTTTGGATAAATGTAATTTCAATCACGTGTTCAGATGTGGTGGGAGGGGCGAATGCTCACGCAATCAAAAACTCATGCCAACAGTTTCATAAGGAACTTTTTTTCATTAGACTTGAACATGCTTGAGACTTAGCAGTAATGTATTCCAAGTGTGGTATTTACTCGTTTGGTGCAGGACCAGATTTTTTGCCCGTGACATAGCGGGGGAAGTTGTTCATGCAAGGAAGAGGTGGATAAGGCAAATTACTTGTGTTTCAAGTCTTGATTCGCAAGATAAGGTGAAAAGATGGTCGAGTCTGTCACCGAGCATTTCTATGCCTCTATGGGTGTCAACCGCTTGCGGGGCTACTTGACGACTTTTGGTCCGGGAGGAACGTCTGGCAGTCGCACCATGTTGCGTCCACTAGGCCCCTAGGCGTCCGCCAGTTCTACACACTAAAAAGAATTGCCGAAGCAAGACAAGCAAACAAGCAGTCAAGTCACTGGTCTTCATGCGCATCCTGACTCGTGGAAGGACTGCTGGAGTCGGATGAGGCCTGGCCAGGAATGCAACAAAAATTAGAACTGTTAAGAAACAGTTTTCCAAACTGGAGTCTACTGCCAACTACTGTTGGCTCAAGCCTTATGTTTCTTGATTTTGGGGTCCTGTGGGTGGGACCTGGGTGTTCACCAGAAAGGACTTTGGGAACGCAAGCGTTTTTGAGTTTTGTGACCCTATGGCAATAGCTGCTGGTTGGTGGTATGTGCCCTTACCAAGAAACTTGTTTACAAACAATAAATTCAGAATTTATTGTTCCCCTCCCCGGCGCCCTCACAGTGTCTCACAGCCTACGAAATGCAAGTTGAGCGTGCCTCCAGACACACTGCTCGAAGTTTGTGAAAGTTCCGGGCACGATTGAAAAAAAAAGAAAAACAAGGTTTAGTGTATGTTAGCGTCATGTCTAACCTTCAAGCCAAGTATGGCAACAGCGTGCAGGATGATACCGATAAATTGTACATATGCAGTGTATATATATATTATATATGTTAAAACTGCGAATCGATTCGATCCGCCCGAGAGCTCCTGCTCTCCCCCTACCGGCGGCCTTTTCCGCGCCCGATCCTCGAGCAAAGGTTGCCTCTGGTCCGACCTATAATGCATAACCGTCCTGACACTGCTTTCACACTCCACCAACTAAAAAAAACTTTCCATCGAGCAATCGATACAGCAAACGTACAGGTCACGTCAACTTACGCAAGTTCTGTTCACTTCCTCTCTCGCTTGTCGCTGCTTCCTGGAAAACTCTCCTTAGGATCAGTGGACTGGTTCACACTTCCGGCAAAATCAATGGCACCAGGTAGGCAGCAAAGTCACCGAAGCGACCATCTCGATCCTTTCCATGGGGCCTGAACCCACACCAAATAGGACTGGTTGCTTACCTTTGGAAGGCGGCACACTGTGGATCCCCAGTCCTTCAGACTGGTCACGCCAGCTGGAAGACAAACCTTGGACATGTCCATCTTCTCTGGAACCACCGGCTTCTGGTCATGGCTCATGTGTCCAAAACGTTCTTTCTCGAGTGGCTGATGCTCATCTGAGTAATTGACCGGCTCCCATGCTTCATCCAACTCCATGTCTCGCTGATCACCTTGACGTTTGGCACTGTCATTCATTGCCACATAGCCCTGCGTCGAATCGCTGCCGGTCTTCACACCTGATTGGTGAGCTCGGGACATGATCGCCTTGGCATGTGCCAATTCTTCTGGGGTCACTGGAGTAGATGATGAGGACATTGGTCAAGCCACTCTAAAATCAAAGGCACGGCTGACTTTGAAATGCGAGAAAAAGGATCTTGAACAAATCAAGATGCTTGCATTATCTAAATCGGTTTTTGGAGTGCTCACTCTGGCATGCACAAAATGAAACTCAACTGCACAATCAACTGCACACAAAAACTGAAACAAAAAGGCACGGCATCAGCACAATGTTCACTCTTTCATTGATTCCCCCATCCGGACCCTACCGAAAACACAATGGCTTCAAGCAACAACAAGTGCAAACACGTGTTCAAACCTCCTCTTCTGGTTTAGGAGGTTTCTGGCTTTGGGCTTTGGCTCGCTGACCGGCTAGGTTCTTGCGTCTCTCCCGTTCTTCCTTTTTCCGGTCTAAGACTGTCTGCTCGTCTGCCAGCTGATATCTGGAACTGAACGAAGGAGGTCCATCGGCTCAAGCTTGTCCTTGGTCAGTCCGTCAGCTAACATGTGTCCGGTGGGAACCCATCTAGCTTCCATCTTGGTTCGACGAATGGACTGCCTGATGATGGCTATGTCAATGGCCGTTCGTCTGTCGTCTACGACTCCTCCTGACCCTAATGAGTTCAAATGGTCGTATAGAGAGCGACAATCAGTCATGCCTATTGCGGAACGCTTGAGGACCTGGTTTGCTTCTTCCAACATGAAGGGACCATCTAGACATTCAGCAGTCATGAGGGCAACCCACTCACACATTCCTGAGGCCGTCGATAAGGTCTGTGCTTCACCTCCCATCGTCGATGATACGCGTGGTAGTCGGTATGACTTCCACGCGAAGCAATGCACTGGGACATCTAAGCCTTGCCTCATCTTATTTGAGGTATCATCCAGCAAGCCATCCCCCCTGAGTCTTAAGCTCAGTGGTGTTTGCAAAGGCTGCATCAGACCAAAAACAAAGAGTCAATTCTTCTGGTGGGATGAAGGGCACTCTGGTTTGCAAGTCTGCCTGTTGCCTTGCACGACGTACGGCTTGGTTGGCTTGGAGAAGGTCAAAAACCGTTGGTTGAGGAAAACATTGCTGACTTTGAGATGTTTGCACAGCGATGTCAGGCCTGGTTTGGGTACTCAACCAACTCAAGGCACCATTCACTGCTCTGAAAGCGCTGATCTCTTGTTTATTTGCCGGCAGCCATGGACGCTGAGCTCGTTCCTTATTGATCTTGATGGGTTGGATGTGTTCAGCATATTCCTTCTGGCCAAAACGAATTTCCCCGGTTTTGAGGTCTGGTTTTGAGGTCTTGTTCATAAATTGTCCCTAGAAACTCACCCTTCCCTGATCACCATTTGAAAGAATGGAAATCTGGCTCTAAGCTTAGCTACGGCTGCCTCATACACCTCACCTTGACCTCCTGTGATCGTGTCGTCGACATGAGCACCAAGAACTCCTTGCAGTTTACCATCTGGACCATGACAAACATACAAGCAACTGTCGAATTTGATCAAACTCACTGTACCATTCATGAGGAGCGTCGTTGGCACCGTAAATATTTCCAAGTACCTGAACAAGGGAACCTTCCTCAATACCTGGGACTCCTCCCGGCGGCAGTTCAGCATATACCGGGTTGGCTAACGCCTTGTCTCTTACGTCCGCCTCTAGGAAAGCACCTTTAATTGTCTCCTAAGTGCATCACCCATCCATGACTGACGATCATCTGCAAGATCAGGCTTTGGCCAAACTGTGAAAGCGTCGGGGAATGACACTTCCCAGCGAGCACCTTTTGGAACAAGTCAGGATCGTGATGTCCTCTCAAGCACCAACGAGCGTTGATCTTGGATTGTCCGTCTTCATGCTTCTCAATGATGACGAATCGACTAGTCATGATTCTATCTGATCAGAGAGGCTTGCAAAAATGACTCCCACTTTTTTTTGACTCTCAGTTTCTTGTTTCTGACGCTATTGATACTCAAGAAGAGGGGGAGGAAGAAGATGAAGATGTTCTCAGGAAGAAGAAGAAGATGCTCTCAAATTTCTTCATTTAAGATGCTAAAGCTGAGGGGGAGGAAGAAGAAGAATAAAGTGATGATGATGATGATGATGATGAACACAAGTCCAACCCAACCCCCAACCTCCAACCCATCACCCAACCCACAACCCAAAGCTTCACGCCAGCTGGTGGAGAGGCAAGTCCTGGCAATCACAGCGTTCAGTGATGAAACGTGTTATCACTAAAAGGGATCCGCTCCGCACAGCTCATTTTCACCCTCACATCGACATGTCATCGCTTTCCGCAGTCACATCGGCGAGACAAATCAGGTTGAAGCCGCACTGATTGAATCTGATCTCTTTGTTGGGACCTCGAATCTCGAATGTGGCAAAGAAAACATGTGACAAAAACATGTAACAAAAACAACTGTTGGACAAGGGGCCCAAATGAAAGAGCGGTCCTTCCACCCATGGTGCAATGTGATACATCTTTCCGCCGATTGGGGCCGTGGTATGGTATCCCACATCCTGACCAGGAGCATATGCGCAGGTTGCAGTCACGATGAGAGCCACTACCTTCCCTGCCTTGATATCCATCTTGTTGAGAGTCTGAACAGCTTCCATCGCATTGCTTGATTTGCTCAGCATAGATTCACACTGGTTGTACAAGAACTCTTGGGTCTTCTCCCAAACATACCTCGAGTCAAAAACCGGACCCTTGACACAACGGAGACATGAACGACAAAGGAATGCTGTCAAGTAACTTCAGTGTCACAGAGTGCCTGATGTTCTCCAAAGTCACACGGCTATCAAAATCATCACTCCTTGGTGTCAGACTCATTCACTCGACGCACTTAAGAAATCCGACGGCCGAGTGACCCCGGCTCTTCCTGCGTCAAATGGTCTCTCCTGGATAAAGTGATCACGAAGCGCTGCAACCTGAAGAAGTACACGGAAACACTGAAAACCAAAACCAAATTCATTCAACACGACAATCATTACAGAATCTTGCAGTTGACACCTGGGCACTGCTCCATCTTGGCCAGGCATGACATGTCATCCAGCTGTCTCACCAGCAACTCAAGCATGAAGGTTTCAGCATCGTCAAGGTCAGACATGGCTCTCTAACAAGACCTGTCAGAACCTGCTCGACAAGGGTCTGCGGAGTGAGGGCAAAGATATGGCACATCAAACTCAAATCGCAGTATTTGACTTTGAACATGAAATGCTCCTTTGACATGACCGTTGAGGACCTTTGACCTGTGACTTTGAACAGCTCCTTTGACACGACCTTTGACCTCTGACTATTTGAATCTGAATCTGAATGCTGAAAAAATGAGTGTTCTTGAGGAAAAATGCTGAATCTGAATCTGAGATCGCCAACTTTTCCAACCCCAACCTCAAGATCCCAAAGGCATCATCAAGCGATGCGTTCTGTACAAATTTCCTCGCTTGGTGGATGACAGATTCAGCCCCGTGATGTCGATGCGATGCACATCCATCACATGATCAAACACTGAGAACGGGATGAGGAGGCTGACCGCATCTCCCTCCTCATCCTGCTCGGGATCAAAGTCCCAAGCCAGCACCTTTGATGCCGGTTGGAGCACCGAAGGCAACGTCAATGTCTCGTTGAGTGAGACATCGTCTGCAGGGATCCAGGCGCCGAAAATGTCCAGGACCTTCTTTTTGCGCCCGGCTCGCATGTTCATCTCTGGTGAACGTGTTGGATGGTACCACGCAAACCTTGGTTTGTGGCTGTCAATCAAACTGCTCCACCTGAAAACTTGAATTGCCAAACCGTTCAATGCCTCCAAAG